GCCCCGTATACATCAGCAGAAGCCTCTCAAATACTGCTCGAATTATATCTCGACAACTAAGTACAATTTCCTCACCTTCTTCCCAAAGGCGATTTTCGAGCAATTCAGACGTGTCGCTAATTTGTATTTTCTCCTAGCCGCAGCCTTATCCCTAACTCCCGTAACACCTTTTGCTCCTCTAAGTATGATTGCCCCGCTGGTCTTCGTGGTTGGCTTGAGTATGGCTAAAGAAGCTCTCGAGGACTGGCGGAGGTTTATACAGGATATGAAGGTCAACTTGCGAAAAGCTAAAGTACACAAGAAAGAAGGCATGTTTGTTCCTAAACCGTGGATGAAGCTTCGTGTTGGAGATATAGTGAAAGTCGAGAAGGATCAGTTCTTTCCTGCAGATTTGCTGCTTTTGTCCTCGAGTTATGAAGATGGGATTTGTTATGTTGAGACAATGAATTTAGATGGGGAGACGAATTTGAAGGTTAAGCGAGCCCTCGAGACGACTTTACCCCTCGGCGATGATTCGACTTTTAAAGAATTTCATGCAGCCATTCGTTGTGAAGATCCGAATCCTAATCTGTACACTTTTGTGGGCAAGCTCGAATATGGTAGCCTCGTCTATCCACTCGATCCTAGTCAGATTCTGCTCAGGGACTCGAAGCTTCGTAACACGGCCTACATTTATGGAGTGGTGATATTCACCGGACATGATACGAAGGTTATGCAGAACGCTACGAAATCACCTTCGAAAAGGAGTAGGATAGAGAAGCAAATGGACAAAATAATATACATCCTTTTCAGTCTTCTAGTATTTATCTCGTTCATAAGCAGCGTCGGTTTTATCGTGAAGACTAAATATGATCTGCCAAAGTGGTGGTATTTACAGGTCCCAGACAATGAAGGTCTGTTCAATCCTAGGAATCCGCTAAGGTCGGGATTTTATCATCTCATCACTGCTCTAATGTTGTATGGGTATTTGATACCAATATCCCTCTACGTGTCGATTGAAGTCGTGAAAGTCCTTCAAGCTTTGTTCATAAACCAGGATATTCATATGTATGACGAAGAGACTGGGACTCGTGCTTCAGCACGAACATCGAACTTAAATGAGGAATTAGGACAGGTGGACACAATCTTATCGGATAAAACCGGGACACTGACTTGCAACCAAATGGACTTTCTCAAGTGCTCCATTGCTGGTATTGCATATGGCACCCGTGCTAGTGATGTAGAACTTGCTGCTGCAAAACAAATGGTCATGGAGGAGGGCGAAAATGATAGAAACGAACATGGTTTTGAGGAATCAGAAATCCAATTGGAGAAAGTTGTTACCTTGAAAGACGGGGAAGATCCAAAACCTTCAATGAAGGGGTTCAGCTTCGAGGATAGCCGGCTTATGAATGGGAATTGGTTTAAAGAACCGAACGAGAATCTTATTTTATTATTTTTCCGGATATTATCACTTTGTCACACGGCAGTCCCGGAGCAAAATGAAGAAACGGGGGTTTTCACTTATGAAGCAGAATCACCTGATGAAGGCGCGTTCCTTGTTGCTGCTAGAGAATTCGGTTTCGAGTTCTGTAGGAGAACACAGTCTAGTGTTTCTGTACGTGAGAGGTATCCTTCCTTTCAAGAGCCTGTTGAAAGGTGAGACCATGAACATTTTAGTTTCTAACTATCTTGTTGATAATTAGTTTGTATTGGACTGTGTGAGTTGAGATGTAATAGTTTTATCTTTGCGAACTCAGGGAGTTTAAAGTTCTCAATCTGTTAGATTTCACTAGCAAGAGGAAGAGAATGTCTGTAATTATTCGAGACGAGAAGGGGCAGATTCTTCTTTTCTGTAAAGGAGCTGATAGGTTTGTCATTGATTATGTATATGCTTGAATTTGTAGGTTTCTCCATAAAACAGAAATTAAAAAGAAAACATCTTTTTATAAAGAACATAAAGTTGAATTAAAGAGTACGTTTAAGAAAAACAAAAGAAAAAAAATAATGAACGAAAAATAAATTAAAGATTAAGGTATATCAGCTTTTCACTGTGTTTAATGCAATGTTTGTTACAGCATCATCTTTGACCGGCTAGCTAAGAATGGCAGAATGTATGAAGAAGCCACCAGAAAGCATTTGAATGAATATGGGGAGGCTGGGTTACGAACTCTTGCGCTTGCTTACAAGAAACTCGACGAGGCAGAATATTCTGCTTGGAATGAAGAGTTTATTAGAGCAAAAACAACACTCGGTAGCGACAGGGATGCAAATCTTGAGCGGATTTCTGATAAAATGGAAAGGGAGTTGATACTTGTTGGTGCCACTGCTGTTGAAGACAAATTACAGAAAGGAGTATGTCTATAACCTATTGATATGAATTTGTTTATATGTTTTATACAAAATGAAAACTAAAACTTACTAAATAAATTGAAAACTTTAAGCGGGTTTCTTTTGCAGTGAATGAATAAGCCTATTGCACATTCACTCATATTAACTCGTGTTACTTCTGTGTAGGTGCCTCAGTGCATTGACAAACTAGCCCAAGCTGGTCTGAAAATATGGGTTCTGACAGGTGATAAGATGGAGACTGCAATTAATATAGGGTCTGTTTCTCACCATAAGAATTAAGGATATAACACTCTTACACAGTGAGACTATCAATGCTTTCTAACTCCCAAACTGAAGTCTTGCAATTTACAATGCAGATTTGCTTGTAGTTTGCTTCGACAGGGCATGAAACAAATATGTGTAACAACGAATGCCGACACACCGATCCAACAGGTACTGTTGTAGAAAAAGACGATTAATTATAATGTCCGACGAAGTTCACTTAATTTAATGGCAAGTCTTAATTTTTTGGCGGTTAGCAGAAAGCTGCAAAGGAGGATGTATTACAGCAAATTACCAATGCAACACAAATGACCATACTCGAAAAGGATCCGCATGCTGCGTTTGCATTAATCATTGATGGCAAAACTTTGGCGTATGCACTGGAGGATGATATGAAGCATCACTTCTTAGATTTAGCAGTTCATTGCGCGTCTGTTATTTGTTGCCGAGTTTCACCCAAGCAAAAAGCCCTGGTAAGATATTGAAGAAATTTCACTCAAAGCATTAAGAGCATGCTTGTTTGCCAAATATTTCAATTCACATTCAATCCACACTCAAAATCTAACTCCGTGAACTCAATCTCACTATCCCAAACCAACAACAACTTTAATTCACTATTCATCTTTGCACATCATGTCTCTCCTACTTTTACATCAAATCAACTTTAATTATTTTATTTTAAATATTATTTTAATATAAATTTAAAATGCCAGTAACAACTAACCATACTATCTTTTTCAAAATTAAACTCTGATTACGCAAAAAAACTCATTTTGAGCGGATTTATTTGTAAACAAACGCTCTAAATTGTTTTCTATTATTCGATATCAGTTCCTCTCGTGATTTTCAGTTACTGTCACCTCCATCTCACCCTTGAGAGTTAATTGTCAAATCAGGTTACAAGATTAGTGAAAGAAGGAACCGGAAAAATCACGTTAGCAATTGGTGATGGTGCGAATGATGTTGGTATGATTCAAGAAGCTGACATCGGTGTTGGCATCAGTGGATGTGAAGGAATGCAGGTTGGTGATGAATACTTGTCACTTTTGTTAAATAAAGTTTTTAAAAATGTACTTAAGATTATTGAAGATTGGGTGATTTCAAAATGTTGGGAGGAAGTCTTTTATCAAGATTACTCCACAAGATTGTTTTGTTTTCACCGATCAAGTTTGTGAAAGTATTCTGAATTTTGAAAGATGTCATCAAGGAACTAATTCAGCCTTCCATGATGCGCTTAAATAAGTCAGATTATTATTATGATTATTTTAATGTATTATAATCAATTATACTTTTTCCGGTAGGCTGTGATGGCTAGTGACTTTGCGATTGCACAATTTAGATTTCTGGAGAGGCTTCTCGTTGTACATGGGCACTGGTGTTACAAAAGAATTGCTCAGATGGTAATCTTTTACGAGTTGAATTTCTTAAAAATCTTCACTTAGTGCCATCTAAATCAAATTTTAGTCCATTCTTGTAGTAGTGAATACTTCTATGGCAGCATTAATTCCATATTCATGCTATTGTTGGTTAGTTCTAATTGACTGCAATTTTGTCTTCTTTGCAGATTTGTTATTTCTTCTACAAGAACATTGCATTCGGATTGACAATCTTCTACTTCGAGGCATTTGCTGGTTTTTCTGGGCAGTCGGTGTATGACGACTGGTACATGCTGCTGTTCAATGTTGTTCTCACTTCATTGCCTGTCATTTCTCTTGGAGTCTTCGAACAGGATGTGGAT